GGGTTGCTTCTTGAACGCCCCTACTGGGGACCTGACCCACAGCCCAGGCATGTGCCCTGCCTGGAAACCTTTTTGTTCAAAGGCTGGCACTCAATTCGCTGAGCCACACCAGCCAGGGCTCGTGTCTTGGTTTTTAAACAGCTTTATTAACATATGATGCCATATGATTCAACCATTTAAATACCATACAATTCACCTATTTAAAGTGCAAGATTCAGTGGTTTTAGTATGCTCACAGAATCATGCAATCATAACCATGAATGTAGAATATTTCATTAACCCAAAGAAAACCTCATAGTCATAGTCACTCTCTACCTCCTTTCCTCACTTTCCTCATCCTCCAGATCTAGACAACTCATCTACCTTCTGTCGCTACAGATTTGCCATTCTGAAAATGTAATATAGAGTCTTATAATATGTGGTCTTTTGTGACTTCTTTGACTGAGCATAACACCGCATTTTTTTCAAATTCATCCACGTTGTGGCACATGTCAGCACTTCCTTTCATGTATAGATATTTCACATTCTACTTCTTCAATGAAAAAGTGATGGACATTTGGATTGTTTTCACTTTTTTGGCTGTTAGAAATGATTCTGCTAAAAATATGTACAAGTTTCCAAGTGAATATGTTTTCATTTCTGTTGGGTCTGTATATATCTAGGAGTGGAATTGCTGGTTTGTTTGTAATTCTTTGTTTAACATTTGGAGAAACAGACAAACTGTTCCATTTTAGATTTCCACTAACATTTTAGAATCCCACTGTATTCTTGCCATTATTTTTAAGTATACTTGATTGGTTATGCTATTACCATTGTCCCATTTTTTCTCCCCTTTATCCTCCTTACTCTGCACCCCCCCAACAGACTCCCCTTAGTTCATGTCCATGGGTCATTCATAGAAGTTCTTTGACTTCTCCATTTCCTAAACTATTCTTAACCTCCCCCTGTCTATTTTGTGCCTATCAATTATGCTTCTTATTCCCTGTACCTTTTCCCCCCCATTTGCCTCCCAACCTTCCCGAGTGATAATTCTCCATATGATGACCACTTCTATGATTTTGTTTCTGTTCTAGTTATTTGCTTAGCTTTTTTTTTTTACATTCAGTTGTTGGGAGTTGTGAATTTGTTGTCATTTTACTGTTCATAGTTTTGATATTTTTTCTTTTTCTTAGGTAAGTCCCTTTAACATTTTATATAATAAGGGCCTGTGATGATGAACTCCTTTAATATGACCTTATCTGAGAAGCACCTTATCTGCCTTTTCATTTTAAATGACAGTTTGGCTGGATAGAGTAATCTAAGTTGTAAGTCCTTTCTTTTCATGACTTTAAAAACTTCTTTCCAACCCCTTCTCGCCTGTAAGTTTTCTTTTGAGAAATCAGTTGATAGTCTTATGGGAACTTCTTTGTAGGTAACTGTCTCCTTTTCTTTTGCTGCTATTAAGATTGTCTCCTTAGATTTAATCTTGGGTAATTTAATTATGAAGTGTCTTAGTGTGTTTCTCCTTGGATCTGAGTTCTGTGGGTCTCTCTGAGCTTGCTGGACTTTCATGTCTAGTTCCTTCACCAGATTGGAGAAGTTTTCCTTCATTATTTTTCAAATAAGTATTAAATTTCTTGGTCTTCCTCTTCTCCTTCTGGCACCCCTATGATTTGGATAGTGGAACATTTAAAGTTGCTCCAGTGGTTCCTGAGCCTCTCCTCATTTTTTGAATTCTTGTTTCTTCATTCTGTTCTAGTTAAATGTTTATTTCTTCCTTTGGCTCCAAAACATTAATTTGACCCTTGTTTCCTTCCCATTGCTGTTGGTTTCCTGTATAGTACTCTCTATTTCACCTGCATAACCATCACTTCTTCATCTGTTTTTGGACCATACTCAATCATTTCTATGAGCACCCTGATTATCAGTGTTTTCAACTCTGCATCTGAGATGTTGGTTATCTCCTCACAACTTAGTTCTTTTTCTGGAGTTTTGATCTGTTCTTTCACTTGAGCCATATTGTTTTGTCTCAGCGGACCTGTTACACTGTAAGGAGCAGACTCTTGGGGGGGAGCAACCCACTTTGTTCAGTTGTGACACTGTATGTGGGGGAGGGTTCAGAGAGGGAACAATGCTGCTTTGCTAGGCTCTTGCCTCACTTTTCAGTCACTTGCCCCTGCTTCCCACAAAGCAGGCTGTGCCTTTTCAGGTGCTGATTCCAAGGTGGGTGGGTTTGTGTATGCTCTATTGACCTCTTCAATAGACTCTCCTGTGAGACTGGGGGATTCTCTCGCTGCTGCAATCCCCACCGATTTTTATAGCCAGAGGTTTTGAGGTTTTAGTTTCCCTTGCTAGAACACTGGGTTGCACAGTCTGTCTCACACCCCAGTTGTTCTTCCCAGCTTATCTGCACAAGAATATGTGGCATCCTAATCTGCCAACCATTGTCTTGTTGCACATACTGGCTTCCTCATCTTCCCTTCTCTTCCCCCCCTACCAATTTGAATGAATGTTTCCTTAACTTTTTGGTTGTCAGACTTCCACTTAGTTTGATTTTCTGGCAGTTATGGTTGCTTTTTGTTTTTAAATTGGTTGCTATCCTTCTTTTGGTTTTGTGAGGATTTGAAGCATATCTACCTACACCTCCATCTTGGCTGGAAGCTTTGGATTATATTCTGCCATTTTTTATAATATTTCTTATTACCTGTATTTTTGTTTATTTGTTTTGTTTGCTGTTTTAGCATTCTTGTGAGTGTAATGTGATATCTCACTGCGGTTTTGATTTGCATCTTTCTAATGACTAATGATGGTTTTTTGGTGTATTTTTTTGAGAAATGTCTTTTTTAGATGTTTTTGCCCATTTTTAATTGTGCTATTTATCTTTTGACTATTGAGTAGTAAGAGTTCTTTATATATGCAATATATAAATCCCTTATCAGATATGTGATTTACAAATATTTTTTTCGTTCTGAGGGTTTTTATTTCTTTTTTTTTACTTCCTTAATGATATAGTTTGGATCAAAAAGTTTTTAAATTTAATAAGGTCCAACTCATTGAATTTTTCTTTTATTGGTTGTGGTTTTGGTGCATATGAAAGGAGGCTCTGCCTAATCCATATATGAGCTTTAATTTTATTATCTTGGTAAGATATTGTAGATAGATGCTAGCCCTCCCTAATTCTTTTTGCTTCACTCTCTAATAATCTTTATCAAATTTGTTGAAGGGGAACTATTTACACTCACTGATATTGACTGAGAAAAATTTATAAATCATCCTGCAGTTTGACATAAAGCGATGCTGAGAGAGTGAGAGTGAATAATAATTCTCATTTTCTATTGAACACTATTTGTCATTTCAATAGAGTCTTTATTTCTCATATACAATAAGAAATATGATTAAAGTTGATGTGGACACTGGCCCACAGTGTCAGTAGCATTATGGATGAGACAAAATAAATTCATACAGGCTATTGAGCCCTGTGGAGGAAAAGGGATGGTGCAACTTCTCTTTCAAGGGGAGAGCAAGCCTCAAAGAGCTTGAGCCACCATCTCAAGAGGCTTTTATTGGATTCAGTTTGCATAGAAATATAGGGTGTATAAGTAAAGCTCATTAATCATTATCAGGCAGTAAGGATCAAACAATAGATAACATACAAAGAACTATGATGGCCTATCTTGAGTCAGGGTCAGATAGCTAATGGCCATAAAACTTTGGGGAACAAACTCACTTCCTTTTTGAACCCTTATAATTTAATTGAGAGCATTCTAAACAAAGCAGGTTTCACAGGATTTTACATATTTTTTCTCAGGCCTGATTGTCCTAGGGAACCTGCCTTTTCCTGCACAGGGCAACACCCACCACCGACATTGTTTCAGGCTTAAGTCAGGCAGGAGAAATAAGGCAGCCCAGAGATTAGGAAACTTCTTGAAGACAGAATGAGGACTCAAGCTATGTCAAAGCCAAAGAGCGAGGGTCCATCACCCCTTTTCTGTAGCCCCCAAGTCCTTCCCTGAGCCCCCCATGATTGTGCCTGTCTTAGGTTGTCCCACCCTTGAGGAATCTTACCTGTCATTGGCTGACTGATCAAGCACTGGGGGACAGGCAGGGTGAAGTAAAGTGGGCAGAGGCAGTGCCCCTGCTAGGGAGATAAGCTTTGTTTCCTTAGTGGCTTATTGTCTGAAGGTCACTTACTCAGCCTTAGCCATTGGAGGGGGGGTGGAGGGTGGGGAAAGGGCTGGTTACAGCTTCTGAAACCAGGCAGGGCAGTTCCCAACATAAAATAATAATAACTAATATTTAGTAAGTGCCAACTAGTGTACTTGTTTTATTGATGTTCTTAGTCATTCGATGAGGTAGCTATTATCTTCCCCCTTTTCATGTAAGAGCACTTTGAAAAGTAAGTAATTGGCCAAGGTCACCTGACTATATGTATACCTAGGAGTAGAATCATAGAATCCATCTCAATATACTTTCATAAGCTTTTTTGTACTGCTTCTTTGGAACAAATAGACCTTAATAACAAAATCCTTTAAACAGAAAATTTTGAATGTGCCATGGAGCTTTTCAAAACTGGGTTTTTACACATATTTATGGAGCTTGTTCTGCTTATTTTTTAAATACTTTGTAAAGTTTACAAAGAACTGGAATTTCATTCTGTCTTTGAATTATTGCTCAAGGAGTCCCATAATGTCTTATATCTCCTCCTTCTCCTCTCCCTCCACCTTCTTCATTAATAAAGACTATGTAACACAGTGTACCAGGAAATTTCTGGTATACATGTGTGGTCTGCCATATATTGTTTGCTTTTCTTTACTCTCAAAAGTGCCATGGTTTTAGGTGAGATACAGTGTTTTGTCATTAAACATGCCAAATTGTCCTATTGTGGCTGCCCACTAGGTGTCAGCAGTGTAACCCCCTCAGAGAACACTCTGGGAAAGTCAAATCAGAGCAAATAATTAAGTGTAGTTCAAGAGTTACCTGCAGCCTTGGCATTCAGAAAAAGTGAGAGAGCAGGGGGAGGAGAGAAAGAGCAGGTGCAAGACAGGTAGTACTTTCCTGGGATCTGGTAGAGAGAGGAGGATTCCCTTCCTGGCTAAAAGGACTCCAATGATACCTGAAATGAGCACCTTAGTGGTGTAATTTTCACTCACGAGGCCAAACCAGTGTGCAGTGAAGTGAGGAGACAGTTTTGAATGAAGAGATATTTTTTTCTCCTTCATAATCTTTCTCTCTTCAAATCACGATCAGGTAAAGGCCCCACAGATAGCTCCCTGGACTTTAACAAATCTACCGAATGATTGCATTTGAGCCAGAAGCTGAGTTGCCTGAACATGAATCTTTTAAAGAATATTTGAAAACATCTACATTCACAACTCAATAACACACTCAGACTCTTATTGGGATGACCTACGGACTGTATGAGTGTTACTTTTAACCAAGTGGAGGTTGCTGCTCTCCAGAAACCTACTCACTTCAGAGGTGTGGCACACAGGACAGAAGAAGCTCACAGCATGGGTTTTCAGGTGTTTGTGCCTTTTTGCCATTGGAATTGGTTGCTGTTGCTAGTGATCCTCAAGAGTTCTGAAGCAACTTCGGATTTGAACAAATCCACAAATTCCTCTGATATTCGGTTTGCTGCTGCCAGCACAGAGCTAAATGAGAAGATAAGTGTTTTTACACTGGATTATGACTACGTGCAAATTCCTTATGAGGTCACCCTCTGGATACTTCTAGCATCCCTTGCAAAAATAGGTAAGTCTTCAAACACCAGCTTGTGCAAGTTGTTTTTCATCTGAGATATTGTATGTAAAAATGCCTCATAGATGTGGAGCTAAGTGGATTGTAACTGTTAACTGCTGTTACATAAAAAATTATATTCCCTCGACAAAGGAAAAGTCTTACAGCTTTTTGTAAATCCATTTAATGCTTCAGAATTGTGTTTTGAAGTTTAAAGGCATACTTTTGTGTCCTGGGTGTTTTTTTAATTTTATATTATTTCAGGATGACAACTATGTAACATTATTTGACATGCAAAAATCTCAAGATTCTATGCTTTAAAAAATCCTGTAGGGTAAAGCATGTAGACCTCAGACTGATGGCCACTGGGAATTTCAGAAACCACAGTGATACTTCTGGAAATATTCTTCCATTATTCTTGGCCACACAGCCAGGGGCTTCATCAATGGCTCCCACTGTTGATTATTTAACAGTGGTATGTGCTCCTTGCAAATTGAGAGAAAGCAAGAAACAAGACAATCGCAGGAGACTCTATATCCCTCAGTGATGGGATATGGACCCCAGGAGATGATATGTGTCAGTAAGATATTGATTTACAACTGAACCAATTGAATCCAGTGGGGCACTTATGCTTTTCTTTGTGAAATAAAGTCAAGTCAGGTTAATGGATTAGATTCTAATCAAAGTTCTTTGTGCCAAAAACCAATGTGATGGTTTACATTCTGTGACCATCTAATTCCTAAGTCCACCCCCTTGTCTCCTTAAAACCAGCTTATTTGAAAATGAAAATTTTATATAATTGTCCTAATTACCATGCATAACATATCATTTGCCTCAGTTATAAAATATGATAGTTGAGTAAATAAATTGCTTTACTACAATCCATAGTACTCATTTCTACTTTACCTCTAGGATGGGTGTGAAGTGTGGGCTGAGCCATGAGATCTGGCAGTTAATTGCTTGGCATTTGTACTAGGGGCTTTGCCTATTCATCTGACTCCCCATGGGTGTTGGGATACTGACTCCTTCAGAACTGCTATTCATTTTGACCTATTAAGGTATAAAGATTAAATGGAGATTGTTAGCTTGAAGAACTCTTGTGTGATTTATCAAATGATTAAATTATTCAAATGACTTCATATTATTTCTAAGAAGTGATCAAGTATAAGTGGCTTTCTAAAGGGTTAATACTCTTAGTTCAGAGCTAACACTTTTCAGCCAACCACATGGACACTGAAACCATTCAAGGTGATCTTATGTAGATCTTTTGTTTTCCTTTGTAAACAATGCTAGAGATTCTCCCTGCCCTGACCTCCTTTTCCTCTTCACAGTAATGGGTACAGCTGTCTGGGGGTCAGGAACTGGATCTGCCACTGTCTTAGCTAGTCACTTTGTCTTTCTAGGTCTTAGTTTTGTCATCAGTGAAATTATTTTTAAGACTTTTCTTTGGTGCAAATATGGATTTTCTAATTGAAAAGAGGCTTATGTTCTATGTCAATAAACATCTCAATGCAGAAAAGATATATTTGATCTTTGTTTTATATTAGTATAAAGCACAGATCATTCTTTAGAGGTATCATATGTGCCCAGACTCACTATGTCTAGAAGTTTAGCATGTTGTAGTGGTTTAAACGTTCTTGATTTTCATGTTGATGTAACTCACCATACTTTAGAAAAAGAAAATAAGTAGATTATCAGATGGATCATGTGTACTCAAGCACAATTTCATTTTTGCTAGTCTTTAGGAATTAAGATTATTTTTACACTGTACATGAAAAGAAGGTCATGTTTATTGAGTGTATAGGTGCCAGGTACTGGGCTTGTAGTTTTACATATGGTGGCTCATTCACCTGGGGGTGGGGGAAGACATTAAAACTTTAAGACAAGAAAGGCTTATAGTTTTTTTTTAGATACTATATTATGAAACTTGAATCAAAATGCGATTAATACTAATTATTATTATTCATTCCTGTAGTCAGTCATTCTATTAAGCCACATTTACTGAGCATCCATACAATATGTGGAAATGACCATAGTCCCTGGCCTCAAGGGACTTAGTTTAATGGGGAAGACAGGTAAATCTAGCACTGCCTAGTAGACACTCTGACAGAAAAACATCACAACTCTCTCCAATCATTTTAAAACACCCACTATCCATGTTGTAAAAGAATAATATTTGGGAACAAATATAGTACAGAGTCACATCAGGCTTTTTTGTTTATCTTTTATTTTTGTTCCATTCCTTGTACCTTTATAGAAAGTTGTTCCTGAATCATTAGGCAGAATGAAAAGGAAGGTTGTCTTTGACTTGTAGGCAGGACTTGACTGTTTGTGGCCATTTAAGTTTCAGGCATTGGAACTATAATGTCTCAGAGTAACTGGATTGATTATATTGGCCATCATAAAAGGGAAGAATATTTGTGAAATATGAAGCACAGATATCATTGTTCTTTACTGTGTTCTACTTGTAAGTAGGCATGAAGCCTTTATCTCTATTGCTGTGTTAAAGTTGCACCTTAAACTAAGGTGCAACTTACCTTAAGGCAAGTACATGTTGGATTCATTTCAGGAAACTAGATTCTGGGGAGCAGGACCTATACTATGGGGAGACACAGGGCCTGATAAAATTACACTATATTATCTTCCACTTCTTTTACATTTTATAAAGTTCAATGTGGTTAAAATAAGCTCTACAAGATGAAGATGTAAAAGAAGGAGGAGGAAGGAAGAAAAAGAGAAAGTTCTTATTTAAAAATAGAGAGTGCAGGACTCTAGAAGGAGGTTTAAACCAATCTTGAAGCCAGTGGGCTAGGTGTGTGGTTTTCAGTAATGTCTCTTGATACTAATAATATGCCATTGTATTAACCTGCCTTCTATAGTGCATGGAGAAATTCAAAGCTGTGGTAGGGAAACCCATATGTTCTATGGATGGCTGAACCTAGAAAATTCCTAACGAGACATTCAGTGGCTCTCCATGGTCTATGGTAGAAAACCTACACTTCTTGCATTTGAATCCAAGGCCCTTATTGTTTGGCTTAAAAATCATGTTCTAACTCTCCTTCCAATACTCTTCCAATTCAAAATTCACTCCCACCAGGTGGATCTCCTCAGTGAATATCAAACATATCCATGTGGACTATCTTGTCTTTATTTTTCTCTGGAGTTCTCCCCACCTAAAATGTCTCCCATTTTGTTATCTAACCACGTAAGTCATAATAATTCTCCAACAACCTGTTCCACTTCTACTTCCCATGTAAATCTTCTGTGATGAATATTTAACCTGTTTATTCATTCATTTATACACTTTTATAAATTCTTTCAGCAAGTAAAGTGGCTCTTATGCTTTGGGAGATGTAAAGATATCTATCATTCTGCTTGAGCTTGAGAAGTTTAAGATTTAGTGGGGGATGAATTCATGCACAAAATATGGTAGAGAGAGATCATTATTGTTACACAGGTACAAATAAAATGTTATAATTATTCAGAGGAAGACATATTATATCTTTTTGGGAAAGATCAGGAAAAGCTTAACTTCGAAGATTGAGCAGGCATCAGTAACAAAAAACAGTTCAGGCATCAATAATAACATATGAAGATAAGACAGGTGGTCTTCTGGGTGAAAAAGTGTGTGGTTGGCTATAATGTAGGATTCATAAAAATAGAACAGGTAAGGGATATTGACTTGGAGAGAGCCCTATGGAGACCTTATGTATTCTGACAGCTTTTCATATTTGCTGGTATATTCAATATGCATTTTATTGTATACTTATTCATTGTATTATTTTTGTTTTCTTATTTGTTAATATCATGTTTCTAAAATTTCATCGACAGTTGGAATTGCAGAAAGCATGTTTGGTCCTCCACCTCACAGTACCTTCCATCCCTGCAGGGTGATTAGCAGGGATGCTTAAGAAATACTCTCAGTTTAAAATTCATGGGAAGCACTATGTACCTTCACAGTCAAAGGTGGGAAATTAGACCATCAGATATATGTGTAAGAAAGTCAGCTGGCAGCAAGATGTGGTGTGAACTACAGGGGCTGAGGGTAAGACAGGATATCAAGAAGACAATGCAGTAATTAGAAGAAATGGGGAGTCCTAAGTAAAAGTGGTACCTGTAGAATTGGAGAGGAGGGGTGGAGTTTAGGGGCAGCTAGTGAGAGATATCACTGATGAAATGGGGAGCTGATTGCATAAAGGGACAAAGGTGATTAAAAGAGTGTTCATGAGAATGTGACTTTATTTCTCTCTAAGTGATTATCTGAATGGCAATGTCATTGATTAACTAAGGGAGACAAAATACAGGACTCTTTATTTTTGTTTATTTGTTTGGTGGAGATGGAAGTGAGGTAAGGTAAGTTTGGAACAAGCTGAGGTTTAGGCGATGATGAAAAACTCTGTATGAGCTTTAAATGTGAGTTTTGCATGAAAGCAAACAGTCCCACCCTCTTCTCTCAAGTGCCTCAGATACTGTAAAATGGGGACAGCAGGAAGGAGGAAGAGGGCTGGCTGGGAACACTGATTCTGTGGCCTGTGCTGACACGTTAAGTACTTGTTCTTGGGTAAAGTGTTATAAGTGACACATATAACACTTCCGGTTCTTGCTACACATGGGAGCTGATGTTCAGAAAGGACAGCCAGCTTGCCCAAGGTTTCATCTGCTTCACTTTAAAAAAACTCTTGAGTACCCCTCTCCTGGTATCTTAGTGGCCAGAAGGGTATTATTAGCAGACAGCTAAATGTGGTTTTCTTCCCTACTCAGGCTTCCACCTTTACCACAGACTGCCAGGCCTCGTGCCAGAAAGCTGCCTTCTCATCATTGTTGGGGCTCTGGTGGGTGCCATCATTTTTGGCACCAACCACAAATCACCTCCAGTCATGGATTCAAGCATCTACTTCTTGTATCTCCTTCCACCCATCGTCCTGGAAGGCGGTTACTTCCTGCCCACCCGGCCCTTCTTTGAGAACATCGGCTCCATCCTCTGGTGGGCAGGCCTGGGTGCCCTGATCAATGCCTTTGGCATTGGCCTCTCCCTCTACCTCATCTGCCAGATCAAGGCTTTTGGCCTCAGTGACATCAACCTGCTTCAGAACCTGCTGTTTGGCAGCCTGATCTCGGCTGTGGATCCAGTGGCTGTGCTGGCTGTGTTTGAGGAGGCACGAGTGAATGAAGCACTATACATGATGATCTTCGGGGAGGCTCTTCTCAATGACGGCATTAGTGTGGTGAGATGTCAATGACACATCCCCAGGGAGCTGAGAGGCCTGATTAGGCTGGCAACAGTAGTCTGTTCTCAGGGTTAATGGAGAAAACTAAGCAAGACTGAGCCACAGCAGGACAGTGGTTGGCTTCAGTCAATGCAGTATGGCCCAAGTGTAGGTGATTTTCCTTAAGATAATTGCTCCCAACCCAGCTTGTAATTCAATACTCAACTAGTTTTTTTTAAAGTGCAAGAAAGCATAGAGAGCAAATCACTCCACAGTTATATTCAGTTTTCACTTAGCAAACATAAACTGTTTCTAAAGGCTCTTCTGGGTTTGCACACTGAGACAAGCAATGGCTTATGTGTTTATTATCTCTCCTTCACAGGACCGCACCCTCATTTCCTTTGTGTGTTTATTAATTTTTATAATGATTTTATTTATTTATTTTTAGAGAAAGGGGGAGGAAAGGAGAAAGACAGGGAGAGAAATATCAATGTGTGGTTGTCTCTTGCATGCACCCTACTGGGGACCTGGCCTGCAAGTGACCCAGGCATGTGCCCTGACTGGGAATCAAACCCACGACCATTTATTCACAGGCCTATGCTCAATCTATTTAGCTATACCAGCCAGGGCTTATTAATTTTTTTAGCATGATTCATTAGATGATGACATTAAATAAAAGATAGGATTAGGGAGAGAGATGACAGAGGGTTTGTAAAAATATGTTAGCTATGTACCAGTTTTGTTTGCATGACTCATACAGAAAATGTGAAAGAGGACTTTTTACTTAGAAGTCCTCCTGGAGAGAAGCTGAGAAGGACTTAAAGGCTAACTCACATAGCATCAGGGCCTCGAAGATGTCTGTGGATGGGGGTGCTAGAATATTCTAGACTAGCTGTCCCAGTGCTCAGGTTCATTACATTACTACAAACCTTCACAGCTAGTCTGAATTTATATAGATATATAGATGATATAGATATATATATAGATACACTTTTCTTATTTTAAAATTTATATCACATTACATAAGTAAAACTAGAATTCATTTTCACTGTAAAAGACTCAAACTGTGCAAAATTATACAACAAAAGACTACAAAAGCCTCCACCTGTCCCCTCTCTTCTCACCTTCTATGAAAGAGACAACACAATATGTATATAGATATGTTATCATACATAAATTGGGTGATATTATATTATATATATTGCTTAGAATTAACGAGTCTTGGAATTCTCTGTAAGCCTTTTCAACTGCTGCATAGTATTCTATAGTTTAACTATAACTTACTTAACCATTTCCCTATAGATAAATATTCAGGCAGTTGCCAACTTTTTGCTTTTAAATACAATGTCACAGTGTATATTTTTGTTTCTACAGTTTCTAGGAAATGAAATTTCTTGGTTAAAAAGTAGGCATATTTAAAATTGAAAAGATGCTGATTTTTTTTAGATTTTATTTATTTATCTTTAGAGGGGAAGGGAAGGAGATAGGGAGAGAAATATCAATGTATGGTTGCCTCTTGTGTGTCCCCCACTGGGAACTGGCCTGCAACCCAGGCATGTGCCCTGATTGGGAATAGAACCACGATCGTTTGGTTCTCAGGCCATGTTCAATCCACTCAGCTACACTAGCCATGGCTAGATGCTGATATTTTAATCGCTACTTTTTCATCCAATTGATGAGGGAGGAATCTCCAGGACTAGGGAGCGACACGTGATACTGGACAGCTGAGATTAATAACAGTTTACCAGTCAAAGCCTGAGGGAAGAGGACACTCCACACCATGCAAGACCACACTGGGGCGCACTCAAGAACTGAGTGAATAATTAGGGGTGTGAAGAGTGGGCTGCCTAATATTGAGAGGATGGGGTACCTCCTGGGTCCCACAGGATGATGAGATTGGTTTGTTTGAATAAGCCCACAGGCTGGCAGGGGGCTGAAACCCACTACACAGGAATGACCAAGAACTGTGCCTGATCCCCTCGATAAGGAGGTTGTTTGCTAAGGAGACTTTATCTATGGGGTCAGATTGGAGAGAGAACTTGCAGTTACCCACTCAAGACCCTCCTCATTTTACCAAATACCAAAGTAGAACATAATATTGGACCTTAATTTAAGGTTTTATACCATGGCTGCAAATATTTTCTAGGAAGACTTTGTGGGCTTACATTTCCACAGATAGTATATTGAGTACATATTTCTTGGTATTGCTTCAATAAATAGGCTGTTGTTTTTTTAATGTTTTTCAATTCAATGAGCAAGAAAAGGATTACTCATGTTTGTTTTAATCTGCATGGTGATATCAAACATCTCAATGGTCATGGATCATTAATGTTTCTCATGCTGTAAATTGAAATTTTGTATCCTTTTAGTGTTACTAGACTTAAAAATATACAGGACACCCAGTTAAATTTGAATTTCATCTAAACTACATATACTTTTTTAAAAGTATGTCCCAGTTATTTCAGGCAAATATTGAGTCTTATAAATTTTTCTTAGGAATGACTTATTTTTATTTTTATTTGGTTTGTAGGAACTCACTCAATTATCCACATTTTTAACTTCTAAATATTGAATAAAAATCAAGTATTTTCTCTCATTATGTCACTTATATTTTTTTAGATTATGGTATCTATTATTCTATACAAGTTTTAAATTTTTATAGTCAAACCTAACTAAAGCACTTTTTTATTGTCTCTAGTTTTCTTCCTTTGCTTTTGGAGACTGTTCCTAGCCAAAAGACATGCAACCATTGTGTTTTCTATTTTTTCCCCTTTTACAATTAATAATATAAATTCACTGGGCACATAATATTCTATGGTGATGACTTTATACAAAAATAAATAGTGTAGAGGGAATAAAAGCTCTTGAAAAATAATCCAGTATTCCTTGGGTGTATTGATCAAGTGAAGGAGGCTGGTATGTAAACTGAGAAGTCAATTTATTTTTGCATAATAAGAATCTTTAGCTCATGGACAAGATGGTAGAGGTACCAGACCCGCACACTTTCCCTCTGGGTGAAAGTCACCAAAAACCAAGTTGTCAGAAAGTTGCCAGGGGAACATGGACTCCAGACTGCCAGAGGATTCATATATTTAGTTTTTCAGAGTGTGTCCCTTGAGCCCTATGCCTCAACAGGACCCTAGTGGGCTCGATGACTCCTCAGATGTTCAAATCCATCCGAGACCTACTGACCCAGATTCTCTAGGAGGGAAACTTGAGGATCTGTGTTTCTAAGAAGCACCTCAGATGATTGCTGGTCTTTGATAACTACTGTTTTTGTTTTGTTTTGCATTTAGGCTGAGAGAAGTCAGTGCATCTTGATCTAAAATGAAGATACATCTACCACAAGGGCTGTACATCTCTCCTCAGACTGGGCTACATTAGTCTCTGAGGTCCCTTTTCCCCTGCTCATTGTTTCCTTAGATATTTAAAAAATTTTGACTTTGTTATGGTGGATTAAGTGTTCTTGGCTGGAAATCTATTTTACCTCCTACAATGGCTTCTCTGAGGTATAACATATTCACTTCATAGTTAATCTCCCAGACATAATCTTATTTCACTTATATTTGAGTTCTCTGGGAGGATTTATTTACTGAAACCCCACAACTGGCAATGCCACTGAGAGTGATCATCTGTGATAATAAGCCACCTGTTGGCTACTCATTTTGAGAAAATTACTCAAACTTTCTTTATAAATTATTAGAGAAGTCTAGAAATAACTGTCTTGATACTAACTCTTTAGTTTTCACAGAATACAGTATTTCTTTTTATTTTAATTAAATCTTCACCTGAGGATATCTTTATTGATTTGAGAGAGCGAGAGATCGACTGGTTGCCTCTCATATATGCTCCAACTGGGGATGAAATCTGCAGCCTTTGTATGTGCTCTGACCAGGGATTAAACCTGCAGCCTTCTGGTGTACAGGACAATGCTCCAACCAACTGAGTCACCTGGCCAGGGTGACACACTATTTCTTAATTGAGAACTCCATGATATGAAAATTTTTGCAGAAAAATACTCTTTATTAATTACCTATGAAAACATTTGACTCTGCTGCCTCTTTGGTGCTGCCCTGAACTTGAGAATCTAACCTAACCTTGGCTGGGTTTTTTTTTGTTTGTTTGTTTATTTTGCTAGCAACATTTGTCTGACTTTCCAAAAGTTTAATTGCTACCACTTGGACAATTTTTAAAATGATAATTTCAAAATAAAATTATAATTATCAAATGACCAAAGTATCTGCTGAGGGCACTGCTCTGACCTCCAGGGGGTGGAGCTCCTGTTGTGTTGGCTCCAGCAGGGTTGCCCACATGTCACTCTTTAGTCACTTTGTGGTTACCCGTAGCACAGTGAGCATTAAGTGTGCTGTGGGACTTCTGCATTCCTACGTGAAACCAGAGAAGCCCCAGGGCCAGATTTAGAAAGTAGTTTGAAAGCAACTGGTATTTAATTTAGTCCAGTTGTATTTTGAGCTAAAGGCCTTGAACTCACCCTTTCATTGAAGAAGGAACATTCTCAAGGGCAGCAGCCATCAGCATGCTCTTTCAGTAGAAAGTCTGAGTCATTTAGAAAGTGACCTGTGATTTGTGGGTTACATGTGACAACTCCACAGATGGTTATCAACTAAAGAGTTGCCTTCTCACTAAGGAGAAGGAACTCCTCTAGTACTGTCACAATATTGATATATCTGATTCTGCAGCTTTCTTGTCCTATTTCCTTTTCTTTCTTGCTTAACAATTTAAGTCATGACTCTTGTCACCAGAACATACTCTTAGTGGTGGGCAAGGGAGTAGACAGAAAACCCAAATAGCTTTAAAATGATTACTAGTATCTCCAGGTGAATCTCATGACCAAAATCACAGTGAGAAGAAAAATGCTACTATTCCTAGCCTTCTGTAGGGTCACCTTTACATTTATTATTTTATTAAATCCTTACATTTCACTACAAAGAATGAATTAATATCCCTATTTCACAGAGAAAACAAAGCAAAGTAAGTTCAAATACTGTAAACTGAAT